TGTAACTGTCCTCTTGTTTCTTATGTCAGTCAGAGGCTCTGTTCTGAGATAGCTGTATGCTGGAACCAGGACAACAGTGTGCAAATTCACATGGTCGTTGGCTAAGGGCCAGATGAAATTTAGGCAAGGACATGCCCTGGGACTGGGCGACACCCCTGCTTCAAGCTCTTAGCTGTCCACAAAACCTGTCTTGCTGCACTTCCAGTGTTTCTATACCTACCCCTTACCCCATGGTTAGTCAGGCCAGCTTACAGGTAGCAAGCATGACACAGGCCTCAGCTGAGCTCAGGAGACAATTTCTGCAACTGCACTGTAAGATTTCATGAGGAACCAGAACACCTCTCAGGATGCCGCAGCAAGCCCGGATGTCTGCCCCAGCTCCTCTGTCGCTTCTCCTGGAACTTCCTGCTTTTCTGTCCCCCCAAAGGCCAGTGCTCAGTGTCTTGAATTCTCACTCCCAAGGGGACGGCATTTGCTGGGTCAAGTTAGTCACCATCCAACATGGAACCCCTACAGACGGCTGCCATAGATTTAAGGACCAGCTACGTAATTTATGGGGTCTGGTGCAAGATGAAAACATGGGGTCCTTGTTCAAAAAATTATTAAGGGTTTCAAGACAGCCACAGCAGGCCCGTCTGAGTCTGGGGCCCTGTGTGACTGCACAGGTTCCAGGCCTGTGAAGCCAATCCTGGCTGGCTCGGGTTCAGAGGCCAAGATCATCATCTTGGGTCGCTAGTCCAAGAACCCTCCTCAAGAGACCACCCAGCTATCTTGCCATGCCAGCCCCTAACCCACTACTTTCCACAGGAGCTCACTGGTGGGGTGCAGTGTGGCAAGGATCTGGGGAACAAATTTAACTGTGGGTACAGCAGGGTCAAATCAAGAAAGCAAGCTTTGGAAAAGTCTTTCTAGAGCTTAATGGATCATTCCAGGATGACGTCTAAATTCTCCAAATGATTTTACACAAAGAACTGGGAAGCAGCTTAACAAGAGTCCCCAGGCCTGACGATGAGTATGAGTTGGGTCAGAGGTGGGCAAAATTCCTGATTCTGGCTACCTATTTCTGTAACCAGAGTTCTGAAGTGCCCTCGCCTTCCAGTCCCTCACTCGGCCCCCATAAAATACGAGTGAGGAGCCCACCAGGTGAGCTGCATGGCCGGCCGGAATCCCAGGGATTCACATAAAGCCCTCCCAGCACTTTGGGCAACTAAGACATGCAGAATCACTTCCAAGCAAAACACCACATTTATTCAGGATCTTCAGAGTTTATTAAAAGATCTGCAGGGCCCGGCCCCATGGCCGAGTGGTTAAGTTGGTGCACTCCGCTTCAGCGGCCCAGGGTTTCACCAGTTTGGGTCCTGGACACCCACCTGGCACCACTCATCAAGCCATGCTGAGGTGGCGTCCCACATAGGGCAACCAGAGGCACTCATAACTAGAATATACAACTACGTACTGGGGGGCTTTGGGGAGAAAAAGAAGCAAAAAAAAGATTGGCAACAGACGTTAGCTCAAGTTCCAATCTTTAAAAAAAAAAAAAAAGAAACATCTTCCAGCAATTCAAACTTTCTCAAAGGAATTGAGCACCCCCTGCTGGGTACTAAATAGCATTGACGTTAAGCAGTCCCCTAACAATGCACCAAAATATGAAAATCTATCTTAGGGATCTAACCTTGTATAAAAACCAGTGACAACAATACGACTCATGATGATAAAGTTATGAGTTATATATGAGTTTGGTAACAGGTTGAAATTTTTTTTAACTTATTTATTGAGATTATGATATTTGACAACCTTGTGAAATCAGTTGTATGTTATTGTTAGTCATGTTGTAGGTGCACCCCTTCACCCTTTGTGCCCACCCACATCCCCCCTTTCCCCTGGTAGCCACTAATCTGTTCTCTTTGTCCACATGTTTAACTTTCACATATGAGTGGAGTCATACAAAGATTGTCTTTCTCTACCTGGCTGATTAACAGGTTGAATTTTTTAATGTCATGATTCCTGGCTTCCTAATAAACATTATTCTTTTAGTTCTTTATCTCAATTATAGAAACAAGGTAAACATTTTGAAGTTCTGAGTGTTCCGATAGGATTCTCTTCCCATTTCAGAAAGCAGTGGTCACAGGTTTTACAGGGGAGTCACATGGTCCAGGCAGAGGACATGGGTCTTGGGACCAGACACCCTCGGTTGGATCCATTTACTATTTGAGTGACTTGGAATAATCCCTTTAACTTGGGACAAGTCCTTTAAGCTGCCATCTTCTGGCAATAATATCCACCTTCAAAAGCAGATGTGAGGGCTGGAGATCCGGTGTCTAAAGCACACAGAAGCGCTCAGTTAACCGTGGCTGTCGTCGTTATTGTTACTACATTAAGAAGTGGGTCTCCATTGGCCTTCCAATGCAGGCAGCCCCTGGGCCCTGATTCTAGGTTCCTGGAGGACAGAGGCTGCACCTGCAGTCCTGTGTCTGCTCAGAGAATTCACCCTGGGCCATCAGGGCAGCTCACCCCGAGCACTCAGGTCTCAGAACCACACCACCCTGGTCCAGGTGCTCTCACGGGACATGTCTGGACAGTTTCACCTCTAGGAGACCCCAAGTCCCTCAGCTCCCTCCTCCACCTCGCTAGTCCAAGCTGCCACCACCTCTCACCTGAGCCAACGTGGAGCTCTTGTCTTCCCACTTCTTACCTGCTCAAACCCAGAGTGACTTATGTTAAAAAAGGAAAATCCAATCTGCTCAAGCCGCTCCCCACTCTCCCCATCTACCAGCCACCTTGCCTGTAAAGCCAGTCCCACCTCCGGCTTTACGCAATTTGCTCTCTGCCCTCAGTCCTCACCCCCTAAATCTTCCCCTGGCTACTCCTGCCTGTCCTTCAGGCGTTGGCTCACAAGCTCAAGGAGGGCACAAGAAATCTCACATTTTCTTATTTTTTTCACAGCAAATTTAATCTTTTCAGTCCCATCCAGTCCCAACCCCGGTCACCAGGGTGTCCCTTCCTCCTCTTAAGGTCTCACCAGCCTTTAGGACGCTCATGAATGACCTCAAAAGTGGGCATGGACCTCTACTCTTCAGTCCATCAGGGTTACGGCTGCCTTCCTCACTGCCAGCTCTGAGGGGCTCTTGAAAGAGGTGGCTCCAAAGCTTGGGGGTTTTCTGCCTCGGCTGGAAGACTGTGTTGAGCTTCAGGTCTCCTTTGGGGCAGCCCCAAAACCATGAACCTCTCAAGTTCCCCATCTCTCTGGAGAACCAGAAACTGGAGCACAGCTCTCCACCATTCCTGAGCTCCTTCTCTGCCTCCCTCCCTCGCTTCCCCAACAAGCGGTAGGGTTGTTTGAGCACATCTGCTCTCTGCTGTGAACACGAAGCACCAAGGACCTGGCCACTTCCTTGGCGAGTGGGAAAAACTTAGAAACAAAATTAATACTTCAAATTATGTTACAAAAGCTACTTAGCACAAGATCTCCCTGTCATTATCTACTCCACAGCAGGTGGCCCCAGTCACCTCTCTTATATTCTGCAGTAGTCGCTGTTGGGGCCCAGATCCCCTCTACCTGGTCTGTCTGCCCATCATTCCCTGGCTACCGGCTGTTGGCTGCCAAGAGCTCCCAGCTGCACTGTTCTCTGGAGCCATGACCCCTGGCACTGCCTGGGTTTTGCCCTCCCAGGGGGGTGGCGGGAGGGGCGGAACCAATGACTGACCAGGACACACTGAGTACAGAGCCCTAGCCCCTTGCCTCAAGGTGGGAAAACTTGGCGTCGTGTTCCATCACTCCCATGGAGGAATCTGTGCTGAGGCTGGACTTCCACTGAAACCACGTCCTTGTCCAGCTTCCTCCCCCGCCCTATCCTGCTTCCCTCACAGGTTCACCCTGAGATGGCAACCTCAATAAACCCCTTACACAGGAAACCCTGCCTCAAGCCTTACCTCTAGGAACCCAACCTAAGTGACATCCTTTATTTTTCCTTCCTGACATGTATCACAATTTGAAACCAGATTTGTATGGCTGTTGGTTTAACGCTTGTTTCCCCCACTAAGTGAAGGCAGAAGCCACACTTACCTTGTTTAGTGTCGTAGTCCTGCATCCTGTGAGGTGCGCCCCAGAGAGCAATACACATGCTCTGAGCTGGAAAGCTGCAGGAACTGAGGCGCCACACAGCCCCCCAGCGCCCCCCCGCACACCTTCCTCCTTGGGTGTCCTGGTACGTACAGTTGACAGCCACTTTACGACAGCAGCCTAGCATCTCTTGGCGCCCATCCTCCTCAAGCCAGTCCTGGATGGGCAGATTCCAAAGCAGCAGGGAACAATTTGGCCCTGGTTTGGTCACCTAATTCCTGACACATTGAGCTGTGGTTCTGACACGATATCATAGGTCACAAACTTGGCCAGAGGCTATTCCTGGGTGTGGGGGAAGTTCTCAGATGACGGTCATAAGCCAAGCAGATAAACCAACAGCTATTTTACAGGCATCATACTCTGTTGGAATCAAGACAACTTTTATATTTTACTGGTCTACCAATATTCCCGGGGAAGGCTGGGCCCACAAGCAAGGCTGGATTCATGTGAACATCCACTAAGTTCCCAGACATCAAGGTCTTATATATTACATATCATGAATAAAGTTGTTGTAAAACTCTCATTTAACTAGAATGTGAAAGAAACTATGGCATTCTAGGTACCTTAATTTTTTGAAAGGCTTTGTTTTCTTTTGGTATAAACATTGTTTCTAAACATCCTAACTCTCTCTCTTCCTGGGTTGTCTTTCTTTGGTGACTGAGGGACTGGTGCCTCAGGGTCTTTCTTCTGAGTGAACGACTTCCAGGCAGGACAGAGACGCACAGGGGGAGCTCAGCCTGGATGTGTCTGGCTTACAGGAGAGCGACTACAACCATGTCTCTGACTGGAACTCTAAAAGAAACTCATTTGTTTTGTGATGTACTTTTTCCTCCTAAAAGCTGGGTAAACAAAAAGACCCCGTAAAGAAAGGATGAGAAGAGAGATTTCCATTATTCAGTGTTTTCCTTTTTCAATGAGGGATACAGATGTATAACCCAGGGACTCTTCCTAGAGTTTATGATCTGGGTAGAGAACAACAGACACACCACTCAATACCACTTAACATAGGCAAATAACTCCAGGGGATAAATGTTCATGAATGGGTTCTACAGAATAAAATTTCTTATTCAAATGCATAACTAAATCCTGACTCCACAGTGTTTCAGTTACATCTGAAAGGGCTTTGAGAAAATAAGAAATGCCATTGCTGGATAAAACTAGCAGTCCAGGGGCTGGCCCCACGGCCTAGTGGTCAGGTTTGGCATGTTCTGCTTCGGCAGCCGGGGCTCAGTTCCCAGGTGTGGGCCTACACCACTTGTCAGCAGCCATGCTGTGGTGGTGACCCACATACAAAATAGAGGACGACTGGCACTGATGTTCGCTCAGGGCGAATCTTCCTCAGCAACAAAAACACCAGAATCTAGTGGTCCATCTAGCCAAAGTGGCTAGTGGTCCATTCCCGTGGTACCAAAGGAAGTTGTAGGGAGAGCAAAGGTAACTATTAGATAACCTTTTAATCTGTAAATGTATCCAAAGTTTGAAAATACCATGGGGAATCTTGGGAACCCCTGTAGCCCATGAACAGGCTGTCTATCTATCCATTACATCTATAGGCTTCACACACATCACTCAGAATCTTCTCAGAATTAGGCTGTATGAGACAGTAGTAATTCTCATGTCTGGCTTCCTCTTCTTTGCCTCTCCCTCTCATATCTTCAATCACCATGTTACGGGACACAGAAGAGCGGTTGGGATGCGTTAAACTCTGATAGCAAAGCAAAATCAGAGTTAAAGGCACATGTTTAACCAGTCATGTTCAAACACAAGCCAGTGAATGACGAACTTTAGGGTCAAAGGGCCAAATAGTCTGCATTCCTGAGAACTCTCAATCAGTTCCTCGTTCCGGTGAGTATTTCCACAATGCACTCTGCTGCCACAAACTAAGTGGGTGCACATTTTTGAGTGCTGATCTACTACTAAAAGATTTCAATTAGCAGACTGAAAGAAAACATTTTGTATCTACATATTTTTTAAAAATCCATCCATGAAAAAGGAGCCAGTGTCAGTTTCCTGTGGGGGGAACGTTCTCGTGGAGGTACTGTAAGGCTAAGTCTGTCCACTTCATTTCTTGTTCTTTAACAGATTCTGTGGTGCCGCCATTGTCCTGTTCAGGTTCAGGAAGCTCATTCTGAAAGGGTACAATGGACATTCAGAATGACGGTATACTCCACATTAACAAATGCCTTAAAACACAAGAGCACTTAGAAGTAAAACCTGTGGGGCCAGCCTAGTGGCATAGTGGTTAAGTTCGCATGCTCCACTTTGGAGCCCTGGGGTTCGCAGCTTCAGGTCCTGGGTGTGGAACTACACACCGCTCATCAAGCCATGCTGTGGCGGCATCCCACATACAAAATAGAGGAAGAGTGGCACAGATGTCAGCTCAGGGCCAATCTTCCTCACCAAAAAAATAAATAAATAAAATAAAACCTGTGAGTTCCTAGGAATAGGCAACATAATGATAGAAGTGTATTCCACAGAAAAGAGCTAGAATAAATAGATGTGAGGAAATATTAGAAATATCGCTCAAACATAGGCTGGTCTGCCTCCGTAGGGAATGATGGCATTATGACCCTGGCACTTGTGCAGGAGGCAGTGTGGCAGAGGCTAAGGGCACAAGCTACAGAAGCCACTGGGATCCAAACCCGCGACTCCACCATTTGGTGGGCTACTCGGGCAAGGTATTCAAACCCTTGGGGCCTTTGTTTCCTCTTTGGCAATGAGAGAAAAAGGCAGCCATCAGCCCACAGTACTGCTGTGACGACTAAACGAGGTAATCTAGACCCAGTGCTCAGCACTGCACGGAGCATCCTGTGCTCTAGGAATATGTGCTATTATTATTAGGGCCTAGGAACACTGAGAAGAGCCAATACTAAGTCTCTTTTTAGGAGGCTGCTTTAATAGAATAACACGTTTGCTGACATATTCCTTAAGCACAAGTAACGTATTAAACTATCCTGTACCCAGCATGCCCATTTTATAATGGAGGCAAGTAGGGAGCCCAGAAACTGTAACATAAGGGATACAGGCTCCCCCTAGTGGTGGAGCGGGCAACATAAAACACAGCAAATGAACAATTCACAGCCTACCAGCAATTTTCTTAAAATGGTAAGCCATTCTACATGTAGTGTAGAATCTGGGACAGTTCCCTTATATATTTTTTTCCCAGCTTTATTGCGATATAATTGACACATAACATTGTGTAAGTTTAACGTGCACAACGTGATGATTTGATACACGTATATATTGTGAAATGATTACCACATTAAGGTTAATCATCTCCATCATCTCATAGTTACCATTTTTTTGTATGTGGTGAGAACCTTTAAGATAGTTTCCTTGTACTTTTCCATTTAAATTTATTACTACCAGAACTCTGTTTTGTACCAGAGTTCACTGATATCAATATATTTCTTTTCAATTATCTGAATTTATACTTTTTTAAGAGTTAGCCAACTGTTAATATCCAGACTTATGATTTCCCACTAGATTCCAATTTGCAGGACACAAATATAATAATGTTTTTCTCCTTTAAAATTATGTTCAATATATAAAAACTGTTTTACTTACAATATGTACAAGTATATTTGAATAATACACATCTTACTCTACAAATGTAAGACAGAGTCAAACATGCTTGTACAAATTGAAAAAAATTATTTACTGTAAAGCAGTAATGCCCTCAAAGCAAAAGTTTGGTTCTAATAATTACCTATAGCTGACAAAGCACAAACAAGTCCTTGGCTAATAAATTATTTAATTCAGAGACAGGCAACTTTGTTTAATTTCATCCCATCTGTGGTACACATTCTAAAATAATGTGTCTTGCATTTCACCGCTATTGTCTCCTGCAATGAATGGCAACATACAAAACTGCATGTGTCTGGAAAACAAACACGAAGTATCATAAACACAACCACCTTCATGGTATACTGCAAAAATGGTCACGATTCTCTGCAGCTGCTGCTCTAAAAGGCTGAGTCTATTGCTCCAGTCTTGACCTGGACCGGCCATGTGATTTGCTTTGCCCCACAGCACGCAGCTGCAGTGCCAGTGTGCCAGTTCTTGGCCTAAGCTCCAGGAAGCTTTACAGTTTCCTCTCATGCTGCTCTTGGAACCGAGAGGCCATGTGAAGAGGTCTGGGCTAGTCTGCTGGATGAGAGACTGTGTCCTCGTCACCTCATGATCCCAGCTGACAGCCTACTAACAGCCAGGACATGTGAAAATGTCCTGAATTACCCAGCCATCAGCTAGCTGCTGGCTGACTGCAGAACACGGGCAAGGCCAGCAGGGAGCAGCTAAGCTGGTGAAGACCAGAAGACCCTCTCAGCTGAGCTACAAAGTCATGAGACAAACAGCTGTTGTTTTACACATGGACAAAGAAAACAGTCCAGTGGTTACAGGGGAAGGGGAGGGGGAGGTGGGCAGAGGAGGTGAAGGGGAGCACTTACGCGGTGAGAAGAAATAACGTACAACTGAAATCTCACATTGATGTAAACTATTATGAACGCAATAAAAACAAAAACCAGCTGTTGTTTTAAGCCACTATGTTTTGGGGTGATTTGTTGTGCAGCAAAAGCTAACTGATAGCTTTCCCATGATAGCAGACATGGGAAAAGAGGGATCAGCAACAGGCTAGGTTACAACCAGGAAGTCGGCGTGGAAACTTCCCTCTCCCTTGTCCCCTAGCACACAGATGGTCCCTAAATCCTGCCATAAGCATGTCTGGATTCAAAAATTCCCCTCCACTTTCGTACCTTTGTTCAGGCCCTCCTCCCTTGCCTAGACCACTGCAACAACTTCCTAATTGGTCTCTCTGCCTTGTCACTTGCCCCATTCTCCATGGCACACATTCTCTAACAATGCTGATTGTTTAACTGATTTTCCAAAACCCAAACCTGAGCGTGGCAGACTTCTATTCTGAAGACCACTCATTCCTGGACATCCCTAGGATGAGGTCTATGCATGGCATCAAATACTCTTCTCAAATCTGGTCCGAGCCCAGCTTTCCTGCTGACTTATGTGACGAATGTATTCACCATTCACACTGAGCGCTTCAGCATCTCCCAAAGTCTTTACAAACCCTGAGCCTTCGTACCTCTGCCCCTCTGCTGAGTGCCCGTGTCCACCCCACTAAACTTCTGGTCCTCCCTTCTGACCAGCTTAAACATGACATTTTCTCTGAAGCCTTTCCTGACACCCAACAGGCAACCGAACACTTCCTATACTACATAGCTGATCACGACCCCCAGTTAGAACACTATTTATCACTATGCATTTCTGTGTTACCTCACTAGACCTCCAGTGACAGAATCTATGTCTTATGTTCACTTAGTCTTATGGTACACAGTGGGCTTCAAAAAATGCTTGTGGAATGAGAATGAACAAAAGTTTACAGGATCTGGAGCCTCAGAGACCTAGGTGTGAAGTCCAACCCAGACTTCGGCAAGTTCCCCTCTCTGATCCTATTTCCCTCCTGTACAATGGGGACAACACCATCACCCCCACAAGGTTGCTTTAAGGATTAGAGATAATGTACATCAAATTTCAACCTCAGTCCATGGCATAAAACTGATATTCAGTAAGTGGCAACTTTAATTCTCATTATGCTCTCTGTTTTGACTATTTTTCTAAATTCAAACTAAGCTGTGACTTATCATTTGGTGTGTCTTATTCATTGAACATATTATTATCTCTTATTCTTAAATGAAAATGTGGGTGAGCTGAACTTTACTTCTCTGTAAATAGCAGCAGCAGACCGTCTACCTGTAAGCTCTATTTTAGTAATGACGCCTCTCAGGGCAGATGGCATGCTCTAAAGAAAAACAGTCCCTAAGTCCTGATCTCCTTGTTCTTTGTTAGGCCTCTATGACATAAATAGGATTTTTTAATAGGCATTTATAAAAGCAAAACTTTTAGATCACTTATTACATGAAGTTTAGCAAACTCCTTGCAGGTGAGTTTTCCAGAGATCAGGGAAGAAGAGTATTCTAGGAGCCCGTTGGTATACATGCAAAAGAAGAAAAGCCAGGTGTCTTCAGAATATTTTCCAGGGAACCTGGGATAGGCATGTGTTCCAAGAATGCGAGTTTCTAAAAATGTCAACTGAGAAACCACAGGTAGAAAGGTGAAGAAATGTAGTGTATATGCCACTGCTTCCTGTTCCTCTCCACCTTATACATTCAACTCTCATTATCTGCTTTACTAGTTTTGGTGTGGTGGACAGAACATGGCTCAGAAGACCTGTGTTCCAGGCCTGGGAGGACCCCTAGCTGAGCCGGTCATATCAGCTCTCTGAACCACATTTCTCTTCAAATAAAAGTCAAGCTAAATGCTGTCCAGAGGCTTCCAGAGATAGAGGACTCCACAGCTTTGACTTCTCCACCCTGCTAGTTTATTTGTCCACTGATTCCTACCTCTACTAGGACCCACCAGAGCACACCTTTCCCCCATCATCCTCAGCACAAACTAGAGCCTACCAGTGGTATTGCAACATCCTCATAAGGCAGCTTGTCTTCTCGCCAAGCATCGTCAATCAAATCCAAGATTCTTCCATCTCTCTGTACCTCACTGTCCATTCTCCTGCAGCTTTGATGTTGTCAGATCTGTAAGCCAAAGAAGTTATTTCTTAAACATGAAGACTGAGATGATGTAGTCCCACCCTAGGTGTCCCCCGGCTTTTTAGCCTGGATGTGTCTTTTGAGATATCATCACCCTGGGAAAGACTCATCTTCCCATCTGGGTCAGGTGACAACTTATTTTATAAAATAAGATCACAGTCCCTTTCTCCCTCTACCCCAGCTGATGGAGGCTTTATAGTGTACGGCAGAGAGACAACAGACACAGCCCAATTGACACACCAGTGTCTTGTGTGACAGGAGGCCAACATATTTGAGGGCCTCCTTTATGAGGCCACAGCACATCTTGAACGTAGCTTTTCTCTCCTAACTTGCACATTCACCTTTCCCTGTGTGAGACGCCTTTGATGAGCCCTTGATTCATGACCAAGTCTCCCCTCCGGCCCCTCTAGCCTTTCCTGCACCATTTTTACAAAAGTCTCCACCCACCTTGCCTCTAATCTTAGGCATTCTTAGGCACAGGAGCTAAATGAACATACTGAGATAATGCTAAACAGGGTTACCCAAAGCGAGCAACTACAGAGCTGACAGAAATCCTCAGCTGAGCTTGCAAAGGAAGGTGCTTCCTTTCTTAAGATAGCACCCAGCCTGAGCTCTGAAAGGAGCACCTCCAGGTGAACAACAGTGGCAGGACCCCATGCTCTTGTTTCCGCTTCCTTTTGGGGTCCCTTCCTCCGATTCTTAACGCTATACCCCCTTCAACGCCTGGCCCAAGTGGTCAGGATGTTCACTTAGCTCCTTGACCACAGCTGATTCCCCGTTTTTCTCCTAAACAGCTGCAGCCAGCTTGGAGGGTACCTCTGGATCTCGTTCCCAAGTTTGGGCTCTTGCTTCTTCATCACAGGCACCACCCTACTGTGCTACCTGCTACAACGCAGCCATCCTGACAGCCTGGAAGCCAATGACATCAAATGACATCTCAGTCACTCCCAGTTTGAGAATACGAAGATTCATAAAAGAAACAATCTTTAGGGGTGGAATCCAACTCCTTCATATAGGCCTGTGCTTCTCCCCAATAGTAGGATTGCAAGGTAGCCCTAACACCTGGGTAATAATTGTACAGGTTGGAGAGGGGAAGGGTTTTTACCCCCATGATGAGGATCCAGGAAAACTGAAGCCAAAGGTGCCCAACTACTCCTGCCACCAGTGAACCTGATGAGGTCTTACTGGTTCACTCAGCAATTAATCCAGTATTGCCCAGTGGATAACTCAAATGGAAGGATTCTATCTTTAGGAAACTGACACACAAGGGGTTCCTGCCCTCAGTTCCAGCCGTACCTCTGGAGTCCTGGTCCTACAAGAGCCATCCCTTTTCCTGCTGCTACTCCTTTGTTCTTGCTGCTCTGTCCCCTGGGATACCCTTCTCACTTTTCTATGGTGACCAAAATCAGCCGATTTTCCCAGACAAAGATTCCACCTTCTCTAAGGTTTTCTAAAATCACTGCAGCTTTAGCAGGCACTCTGCCCTGAACACTTCCTTCTTCTCCTTATGATCCACCAAACAAGCCAGGTCGCCTCTAGGACCGATTGCTCAGGTGTAATTGTCTCCAACTGTTACACATAAATTTTGTTTCAATGCCTCAGCACATCTTTCTCCAATTAGGTCTCAACCTTTGATCTTTTTTCATCTGTTCCTCTTCTAAACACCTCTAACCCTGTCATACTTTCCAGCCTCTGCACTTAAAAGCCTCTTTTCCCCCTCACTAACACTAACGTTTCCTTCCAAACTCAAGGTGGGCATCAATTGTTCAGGATCAACGTCCCACTACCACACTTAGGTGCTAAAGTGTCTTGACTCTTTTTTTTTTAAAAGACCTTTTTAATTTAATTTATTTATTTTTTTTAGGAAGACTGGCCCTCAGCTAACACCTGTGCCCATCTTCCTCTACTTTATATGTGGGACGCCTGCTACCGCATGGCTTGACAAGTAGTGCGTAGGTCCGCACCCAGGATCCAAACCGGCGAACCCCAGGCCGCCGAAGGGGAGCGCGAGAACTTAACCACTGCGCCACCGGGCGACCCTATGCCTTGACTCTTACGGGGCTGGAAGAGTGGAAAGCATCAAGACAGGCGATGTCCAGGGCACGGCCACTGTCTCGAGCACTCGCCACACTCGACAGAATGAACCCCTCCCAGTTTCCTGAACAAACTCTTCTTACGCACGTGACAGTCGCACCGCCTGGAATGCTCTCTCCTCTTCCTTTCTTCCCAGCTAACCGCCAGTCAGTCTACAAACTCCCAGGTCGCTTCCCGTAGGAGGCCTTCTCCCAGACCCAAGGGTGCGTGATGCCCGCCCCTGTGAGGGTCCCACAGCTCCCCTGGGGCACGAACGGTCCCGATGGGAGCTTGTCACAACGCCCGTGACACGGTCCTTCCTCTGCGCTCTAGAGCTCTGTAAACGCGCAACTACAAGTCCAAAGCAGGAGCGCCTTTCCCCTGCCTAGAAATGACCTTCGCAGGCCACCACCGTCGGCACAGGTGTGGCAGCCCCGGGCCGCAGCTTCCGGCCCGGGGCTGGATGTACCAAACGTGGAGCGGGGACGGGGGGGACGGGCCCTCCACGCAAGTCCTCTCCGCCCGAGCCAGCGCGCGGCAAGGGGACGAGCATGAAGACGAAGTGAAGGCCTCGGCCGACGGGAGCGGGGAAAAGGGCGTGGCTGAGGAACCAACGTGTTCCTGCCCCGCTGAAACCTAGGCCAGGGCCGCGGGGAAGCCTTACCGGCGCCCGACCCACGCTGCACCCGCTTCCTCCGGACCCCGCCCTCTGCGTCACGTGACCGGCACGCCCTTCTCTACGACGGCCGGATGTGGGTGAGCCCATTCGCTGGCGCAGAGGGGAGGTCAGGGAGGACGTAGCTTCAATTCCAAGTGAGGGCGTAGTGGGCGGGACTAGCGAGCCGGCGACGGAGCCTGGACGTCAGGTTGGTGGTGACGCGCGTGCGCGTCCCCGGCCGGAGGTAACGGCGGGAAGGCTCGGGGGCGCGCTGCGGCAGCCCGTAACCGCATGTGCGCACGTAGGGCTGGCGAGGGCCCGGCGGGTTCTGGTCCGGAGGCCGCCCTGGCTGCGGTGGGGCCGCCGGAGCCCCGGTGGCACGGCCCGGAGCTGGCTTCCCCAGCGGCCCGCCTGCGGCCAGGCCCGCCTCCGCCGCCCCCGCCGCCCCGGGTCCGCCCCGGCGCCCCGCCCCTCGGCCTCGCTGCGCACGCCCTGCGGGCCCGCGAAGGCGGCCATGGCCGTGCGGGGCGCGCTGTCCGCGCCAGCCAGGTGGTCAGCCCCTCCCCGGAGGCCGGGCGGCGGGAGGGCGGGGCGAGCTGCTCCCGGGCCCTCACCTTCCCCGGCAGAGCCAGGCTTCCTCCCCGGGGCAGGGCACCCGGCTCAGCCCTCCGCCCGGGCTCGTTGTCCGGTTAGCTGTCTAGCGCAGTTGCGACTTAGGTCGTTGACGGCAGGTGATACCGGTTCGTGTATGGTGGGAAGGTTAGCAAATTTTAGCAAGAGAGTTGTTTTCAAAAGGCTAACGTTAGTACAGGAGATACGGAACTGTGGCAGAAATCGTGAAGGGCTGAAGTTGGGGAACCCTGAACTTACGGATTGTTCCACGCAGATCACGGCTGGGAAATAAATGATAGAGTGAGGGTTTAAAAGGGACGGTTCTTTAGGAACACTTGAATCCTCAAGATGCTTGAAGATAGTAAATCTAGGCTCATAGTGTGGTTTTTCTTATGTCCCTTACAACATAGGAGAGTCTGCTGTCTGTGACTGGTCTCCATTTACAGTGCACTTATTTGCACGAAGTAGTTTTCGTTTTGAGCCTTATGTCCGATTCCTTAAACCAGTCTTTAAAAAAGTTATTTTGTTCCTTTAATAAAGCAGTATTGTAGGGTAGGTATCCTGTAGTTACACAGTTCCCCACATGCTTGCATTTAGTTTTATTTTATAGCTATGGAGAGGAAATCATAATAAGGGTCATCAACTACATGTTAACTTCAAATATATTTACATTTATCCTTATCGTAGCTGTGGCTTGACGATAAGGTGTATGTATTTTCTTATTCAGGATGCAGTAGCATCTTCACATTGATTTTTATCCTGAGCTTTTTGCCCTTTGTGTCATTATCAGTGATCAGGATAGTAAAAAAGACTGAAATTAAAATGGGTTAGAGATTTATAAACATTCAGACAGTCACACTGCCCTTTAAAAGGTACATAGATTCAAGTTTTAAAAATTATTTGTAACAATTGTGTATGTTAATTGTACTGATGCCATTTTCCTTCCATCGAAAGGTGATGGAAGACCTTTGCTTGGTCCTTCGTGTTCTCAATTATGTAGTAGTGCTAGCCGGTGGTGACAGCATCAGTGGTCCACCCTATCAGAGCTTCTTTAAAAGTCAACTTGATTTGAAGTTCAGCTGAAGCCAACATTAACATAAGTTTCAGGAACTGAATTTTTGTTTTTTTATGTTGCATTAGGTTTTTTTCCCTCCCAGAACTAAGTTTGTTTTTTCAGTTTTACAAAACCACAGTATTGTCATTACACCTACAAAAATTTTAAAAATTCCGTAATGTCAGTATTCTTTTTGGGTTCACGTTTCCCCAGCTGTTCCTTAAATGTCTTTTTACGATTAGCTTGTTTGGCTCAAAATCCCATAGAGAGCCACATGTTGTATGTGGTTGATACATCTTTTAAATCTTTTAGCATAGTAGTCCGTTGCTTGTCTTTTTTCCCTGAACATTCTAGGTTTAGCTGATTGCATCCACATGGTATCCTTTAACATGTACATCTATTCCCTTTATTTCCTTTAAACCACTAGTTAGATCTAGAATTGCTCTGTCCACTATACTAGCCGCCAGCCAGCTGTGGCTATTTGAATGAATTAAAATGAAATAAAACTGAAAATTAGTTCCCTAGTGGCATTAGCCACGTTTCAAGTGCGCAATAGTCGCAGGTGCCTAGTGACTACCTCTTGAATGGTGTAGATATAAAATATTTCCATAATTGCAGAAAGTTCTTTTGAACAGCACTGATCTAGGAGCTTGATCAGATTCACCCTTGGTTCTTTTTGGTGGCGGGGCAAGATTTCCTAGATGGTGCAGTACACGTTCTGTTGCATTAATTATCAGAGAGGCACTGACGGCCTCAGATGTCACTCTTTTTGTGACAGTAAGATCGAGCAGTGTAGTGGGTTCAGGTGTTGTTAGCCCAATCCAGCCATCATGAAATTCCCGTGCGCCTTTCACTCCCTGATGGATTCTTTCTGTGGGTTTAGGTTGCCTATAACCATTATTGCATTAGGGGTTGCAAAATGGTGATTTTCTAATTCTGTCATTCCTTCAGTATTTATTAGTTGAAAGTCTTTTATGAAGATGAACTTGCCCCCACCAGCTATTTGAGTACCATCAGGTGTTTGAAATACAGTTTGGGCAGGAAAGGCAAAGAAAATACTTAATTCTTTCCCTCTATTTTCAGACTACAGTAATGAGCTGGTGGCCTAGCAACCTTGAAAGGTAACCATGAGGCTTTTGCCTTTTTAATTTTCATCATCATGAACTTACAGACTTGAAGATGTTTAAACTGTTCCAACCTATTGTAGTCTTTTTTATTTTGTTTTTTTGGTTTTTTTTGATACTCAATTTGTCCTGTCTTTGGCCAGTGGCAGCCCATTTAAGTTGGCTCCTGTCCACTTTGAGATGACCGGTAATCTTTGATAATTTCCTTGTTTTCTGGTAACACCTGTTCCTGGCTCATTTGTCCGTTTCTGGCCACCAAGAAGCCCTTGTTCCTTTGAGTGGGAAATGATGTGTAGCGACTGCAGTCTGGGTGCTGCATGTGCTCTTGCTCCTTGGCCGGTCATCGGTTCTAGATAGTTTGAAAGAGAAATATGCAGACTTCATACTGCTATTTCTGGTTTATGTTTAGTTTTATAGTTTTTTTCTTTGCATATTTGATTTTATATTTGTATCTTTTTCTCTTTTGCTGAAAATCTTAGTCTCTCATGTCATTAACATAATTACTTTTTTCTTATTCTATATTATATTTAACAGTTTCAAACTAATAATAATAGTTTTATTGTTAATGATATGATTCCTGAATAGTGTTTAGGATTTCTTTGTAGTTCTTTTTTATCCTTTTATAACCTACTTGGGATATGTACGGTAAAATCATTGCATGTTAAAGGCATATGAAACAATTTGTTTTATGGTTAGGCTGCCAACTTGATATCTAGTTGATTTATTTCATTTTGTTTCCAATTTTTCAATACTGCTTTTTTTTTCCATTTGGATTTGTTTTATTATATGTAAAACATTAGCATAGTTCCTGTAAAACAAGTACCTGTCAAAGCTACATCCAGACAAGTTTAGCTTTCATCCCTGTTTTCTCCACCCTATTTCCCTTTCTTATAGGTGTCATATTTACTAGTTTTGGGTTTATCCTTCCATAAAAACAAAGGCACCATATATATCTATCTATATATTTTTTTCTCCTTTCTTAGATAAAAGGTAGTGTTTGCATACACTGTTTTGTATCTTGCTTTTTTTAACCTAATAATATATGAGCTGTAGATCCCTCCACAGAAGTATGTAGAGATGGTTGTCCCTTTTCACAGCTTCGTAGTGTTCCATTGGTGGATGAACACTCTACCAGTCCCCGGTTGATGGGCATTGGTGTTGTTTCCTACTATTGCAAATAGTGCTGCAGTGTATGTCCTGTGCATATGTGATTTTGTATTTTTACCAGTGTATCTTTGGGATAGTTTCCTGGAAGTGGCATCGTTGGATCAAAGGGTAAATGCATATGTATGTGTCAGTTGCTAGGTATTGCCAAAATCTCCTCTAGGGTAGTTGTGCCATTTTGCATTCATACCTACCGAGTATGTGAGTGCCTGTTTTCCCAAAGCCTTGTCATCAGAGTATGCTGTCAAACTTTTAACTTTTGGTTAATCTAATACAGAAGAAAGGGTAACTCCGTGTAATTTGTATTTCTCTTATTGTGAGCAAGGTTGAGCATCTTTTCATATGTTTAAGGTCGTTTGCATTTCTTTTTCTGTGAACTACTTGTTTGTGTTTTCTGCCCATTTTTCTACAGATTTCTTTTTTCCCCTCAATTTTTAGAATATCTTTATGTATTTGGATAATTAACCTTTTGTAATAAAACTTTCAAATACTGTTGTCGTTTGTCTTTGAACTTTGCTTATGGCATTTTTCCCAAGTAAAAGTGTGTTTTTATCAACTCAGATTTCTCAGTCTTTCCCCTTATTATTTCTGGATTTTTGAGTCATAGTTTGGACAATGTTTTTAAACT